CGGGGGCGGCCCGCCACGCCGCGCCATGCCATGACTCAGGCGGCGCCGGGCCTGCTCCCCGGGGGACGCGGGCCCGCCGCGCTGCTCCGGTCGGGGCCCCGGAGAGGAGGGCGCCCCCGGAGCGGCCCCTCTTCCTTGCCCCGCGCTGCCCCCCTTTCCATGCCGGGAGACCCCCAAGTGGGGCCGGGCGGCCGTTTCCCTCCAGGAGTGGGGGCCTGCGCTCGCTTCCCTCTTTCAGACCTCTGCATTTCCCACCGCATTTCGGGGAGGGGGCTGGGGGTTGTCTTCCGAGTGCCAGCCGCCGAGAAAGGGGTGAGGGGCCCCTTGGGAGGGTGGCTGTGATTGAGCAGGGGCCTCACTGCACAGGCAGTTAATTGCATGACGGCAGCCCATGAAATCTAGACGTTGCCTTCTTTGACCCCCCCCCCTTCCTCTAAATCATGCTCTGCCCTGCCTGCTAAAAAACAGTTCTCTGAAAACAGTTGCAAAGGCACCCTCCTGCTTCCATCTTTCAAGTGCTGGCAGCAAATCAGGAAAGTTAATCCAGATTATATTTGAGGGGTGCATAGCTGGGAGCCACTAGCCCTGGGAGATGCCCCTGAGCTGTCCACAACTTGTATCACCTCTGAAATGACCTGGGTTGACAGGTAGCTCAGGCAGGCGACCTGCACCAGGTTAGGCTGAAAAAGTTTTGTGAGTTCTCAGCACCTCTCCGCTTGTACTTCTGTAATGGGTATTGTTTTGATGTGCAGGCAATCGGAATCGTTGGGAAAGGCCGGGGTAAACACGTTTGCATTGATCCATGAAAGCATGTGGTAGCCCCTGTCTGGTTCCCTGGGGGAGGAGGGAGTCATTCCAGCAGAAGGGGCAGCACCTCAGAGAAGGCCGGTTGCAAGGTCGCTTCTAGGTATGACTCTGCAGGATGTGTCCCAGGCAAGGCCTCTCTTGGAGGCAGAAATGGCCGAACAGGTCTTGTGTGTGAAAGGATGATACTGCAAGTAAATCTGGCTGTAGGTTGTTGAGGTGTTGAGGGCTTTATATGCCACATCCTAGCACCTTGAACCTGGCTTGGTAGCAAACCGGCCTTCAGTGCAGCTTTCAGTGCAGATGTGGCGGGTGCACCCCACTCATGAGGATGGTTGCAGCCTTCTGCAGTAGCCGCGTCTTCTGAAGGGCAGCCCACACTGAGGGCCTGGTAATCCAGTCATCTGGTCTCAGAGTTTGCAATGTTCGGATCACAATGCACGGAAGTTACTTAGGCCTCTAATGGCAAAGCAATCTAGGAACCACCTGCCTGTTTCTCTGGCGGAAGGTGCAATGTTTTTAATGTTTCTCATGTTCGTATTTTCTCCTATTTGCAGGAATGCTCACTTAGAAGCAGAGGGCGCAAAGAAGGGTCTTCGGCTTCCCTCTGCTCGCAAGACAGGCACTACTATTGCTGGTGTGGTGTTTAAGGTGAGGTTTTGGTTTCTCTGCTGGTGCTTGTTACAGTAACATTGGTGTGGCTTCCCAGTGTGCGCTTTCTATCGGTAACGTGCCTCTTTACTCAGGAGCAAATTCCACCGAGTTCAGTGGGGCTTGCTCCAAGGAACATGGCGATGGGATTGCAGTTGAAAGGAATCCTTCTTTCTCCAGGATGGGATTGTACTTGGAGCAGATACGAGAGCTACTGAAGGAATGGTTGTTGCTGACAAGAACTGTTCAAAAATACACTATATTGCTCCAAACATCTAGTAAGTATAGGTATTACTAATTTCTAGCTTTCATGTGCACAAACTTTCTGGAAGAATTATGGGGGAGGAGTTGGTTTCGGATGGTTTGTTTCTAATGAATTAAATGGGTTAACAGTAGACAAGAGAATGGATGTTTAGGATGTGAATACCCCACCCATGTGGGACAGAAACAAGGCCCACAGGGCCCTGTATTTCCTAGTAAGCTGTGACGGAGACCTTCTTTCTGTCTCGATATGTGTAGGGTTGCAGCTTGGGAGTATTTTTTTATCTTGCTCCGTAGCCAAACAGATACCCAGAGTAGCTTGTGAAGAATCGGTTACATGTTGCTGATTGCTTACTAAACAAAGCACAATGTTTGCAGTTGTTGTGGTGCTGGGACAGCTGCAGACACCGAAATGACAACTCAGATGATTTCTTCCAACATGGAGCTGCACTCCCTCTCGACCGGACGGCTCCCCAGGGTGGTCACGGCCAACCGGATGCTTAAGCAGATGCTCTTCAGGTAACTGTCTTTCGAATGGGCAGCTCTGCTGCTGAATAGCAGGAAAGCTGCCCAGCCCATCAACGAGCAGTATACCGGTTCAGCGATGGGTGTTATGTTCTGAAATATGTGGTAAACCTCCTGTAGGTCAGATTTGAAAACTAAGTTTTTGCTTTGGAAGGCATCTGCTTCGCTTCCTCACAGTGAAGATGTACCGGTTTGTGTTCCAGATATCAAGGTTACATTGGTGCTGCCCTGGTTCTTGGTGGGGTGGATGTCACCGGCGCCCACTTGTACAGCATCTACCCTCACGGATCTACTGACAAATTGCCGTATGTTACCATGGGTGAGTTGCTTCCCTCTCGTTACTGAACATGTGCTAACTACACTGCCCGCTAGTGGAAATCCGTGTTATTTCATTTATGTAGGCCCTGTAGAAACCGAAAGTAAAACAGATGGTTTTTTACTTTGTCATTGTCTTGATCAGCTCAAGAAAAGCTTGGTTCACTGGCTGATTGTAATTGTGAGCCGGAAGTCCTTCCTTCCAGGACTCACCAGAGAATCAGCTCTTAGAACACTGTTTCATTGCTGAATGACAGGTATTTTGCTGAATCAAATCTCACAGAAGCCGTTCTTCATCAAGAACAGAAAGCAAGCGTAGACAAAGTATCTGAAACACCGTTCTAATCACTGCAGAAAAAATACAGAGAGAACCACATCTGGTTTCTTAGCCCAGTAGCTGAATTCTTGGCTGGCAGTTGCAGAAATAGCTTCGGCTGAATGAATATTTGAGTGAGTAGCTCTTCTCTCAGTGGTGGGCTGGCATTAGTGACTGTTTAAGTAATGGTTTCTTCTTGAAGTAGTTGCAGTAGTTTAGTAGGTTAATGGTGGTGTTTATTGAGAACTGCCTCATGGAGCTCAGTTCTATTGTTTTGGTTCACTCTGTTTATAGGGACTGAACCACTCTCCTTAAATTATCCTTTAATATGCTATCCTTAAATACACAGCCCAAGTAGAAAAATACACACCTGGCCTTAGGAATATTTCTACTATTAACAGAAAGCCCTTGATCAATTCTAGAGTACACTTGTGAGATTCTTTGGTTTGGTTTGGATTTTTCATGTGGGTGTTTAGGGGATAAAAGAATTCCAGGCATATGCAAGCAGATTTGTACAGAAGTGTTTAGACCAACCGAGAGACTTTTTTAGACCAATAGATGGTGCCATGGTACCCTATAAAATTGTAAATTATTTATTCCTTGCGTAGAGTGTACTTTTTGAAAGAATGCTATTATAGGATTTATGATGTAATATTATTTCCAGGCTCTTATATGAATTAACATAAAAAGAGGAAATTGGATTAATATTTATAAATGTGCCCCAAAACTTATTAAATATTAAACTACTTGAACCATAAATTGCTTTGCTTTGCATGTCCATATTGTGAGTGATCAGTGAGTCCAAACCAACAGAGCTCCTGCCTGCCTTCATTTGACTGCTTGACGGATGCCCTGAGGAACAGCCGCTCCTTAAACGGCTCACCAAACCCAAAGAAAGATCATGGGCTCCTGAGATCTGCAGGCAAAGTGACGAGACTGTCCTGCTTTTGTCTGTGCTGCCCCATCCCCTGTTGGACAGGATGCGGCCCAGACAGACGCGCCCAGTCTTCATAACCGCTGCTCCTTGCCCTGCCGGCGCCCTCCGCGGTATGCTGCCTACATCCTCCGATTAGTGAATGCCGTCGGGCTTTCTCTAGGAAGCAGCCGTTCGCTCTAGGGAGCAAAAAAAGGGATTTTCTCCCATTTCTCAGCCGAAGGGGCTTTCGGGGGGGCTTACCTCTTCTCACCGATAACAAGGTGGTATCTCCTGCAGACTTGTAACGTAGAAAGTCAGAAGGCACAAGTGAAGGTAGATGCAGAGGAGAAAGAGGATCTGTCTGTCCAGCGCTCTGCCTGTGGAATGGCCATAGCGGCGTCCTGTAGAGGGAGATGGGAAGGCCGGCTACTTCGCGTCTTGCTTAGTGCACTGCTCTGCGTAAGGTTGCCTTTGAAGAGCATTAAGAAATGGCGTTTGCGCCAAACTGCTGGGGAACACGAGTGGGAGGGCGCTGTCCCACCACTATCCTGCTTGTGGGTCGGCCGCCGTGTGGGCGGAACGCTGGTCCAGGTGGCCCCCTGGTGTGACCCAGACTGGCTCCGAGATCCCAATTTATAGCCTGCCTTTTTTCCTCCTATGAGGAGCCCACAGTGGCTAGCATGGTGGTTCTGCTCTTCTCCACTGGATCCTCACAGCGCTCCTGTGAGGTAGGTCAGGCTGAGAGGCCGTGACTTGTACAGAGGAACCCAGCAAACCTCATGGTGAAGTGAGGGCTAGACCTTGGATCCCCCAAGTCCCACCACACTGATAACTAACTCTTAATAATCTTCTGGAAGGCATTTTGCATTGCTTCAATTTGCTCTTTCAAATCCTTTTGAATATTTAAAATATTCCGTCTGCTATTATGATGCTTTCCTGCTTCTTTGTGTTTAAAAGTTTAAATGAAAGGATGTTGTGGTCAGTTTTTCTATTTTTGGGGAAAGCAGTCTTGAAGGCAGGATATGTTTGTTTTAATTATATTAAATACATTTGTAGTTTATGTGTCCAGTGCTCTATCAGAAATTACTTTTAGACTTGCTTTTACTGGTGGAACACATTTAAATGTGATGTGGGAGATAGAGAGTCTGAAGTAGTCATGCAGGAATAATAAAACATTATACTCCATCTATGCTTCTAAGGCTTGAGAAATTATGATCTAAAAATGTCATAAAATCGGGCAGGCTCTGATCATTGGAACCTCGTAGTATGCAGACGCCTTGCAGTCCTTGTAAATTGGAATACTCCAGTTTGGGCAATTTTGGGACACATAGGAGCACTGTACCCTCAACCAGGTTGGGTTGTAATTCTTTAGGAGGAAAACCTGTTATGTTTCAATTCTTGAATTTCAGAAACATGCATCTTTTGGCAACCAAGGAATGCATCTCCTAGTGACACACAAGTGAAGGGAGTCATTGGTGGCTCAAAACCTTTATTTCCTTTTAATTCGGTAGTGTTCACTCAGCGCAGCAGAGGTGTAAATACTTAGATCTGCTCATGTGTGAGGCATAAAATAGGACACATACAATCTGATCCTACTGCTACTAATGGATTTCCAATGTATCTGCAAACGGCATTCTGATTTCCCATCCTGTCTTCCTTATTTATTCCTGTCATTGTTGTGACCAATCTGTAATGAAAATCTGGAATACGGAAGGCAGGACTGTGTGTCATCGTTTGCGCTAGGCGAAGGAAATAAAAACCCAGCGTTTGAGACCTGACTAGCGAGCAGTGTCCTTCCTCAGAAGCAGTTTAAAATACACTCAGTGCTTACTCAGGAGTGAAAACATCAAATTAAAGTGTTTATGCTGACAAAGGACAAATGTGGATTTCAGCAAACGATGCAAGATTGTCTGATTGCTGGCTTGTCTCGAAAAGCTTCTGGCCATGGCTATATAATGAAATGCATGCATAAAATTAAAGCGCTTGAAGTCTGCAGTTCAGACATGGGAAGGCGCGGGATGCATTCCGGGGGTCTCTTGTGGCTGAGCCTGATCTCTTGGCACCGGGATCGTTCCATATTCATAAATCAGCTCCGTGTGCGTTGGCAGTGTCTGTCTGTAATGCAGGGATGCCACCAAGAGACCAGGCCTCTCAGCCAGGAACCGGAGTGAAAAATGATGCCGATCGATGGTTCTGTAGAGAGCACTGGATTTCTACCTAGGAAGAGCAGCAAATTGAATAACAATGAGCATTTGTGAGTAAGAGTCCTGTCAGGGGCTGCTGACACTGATGGATTAAAGAAATCTAAATGTTCCTCTCCGCACACTGCACGTGTTCTCCAGTGTGGCAGGAGCAAACAGGTTTCCGGGTGCCGAGGATAGGGATGTCTGTGTCGTAAAAGGGAGCGTGCTTGGCTTTCTTGTGCAGAAGAGGGACGTTGATCCATTATGCTTACACAAATCAGATTCCAATAGCTGTTTAATTTGGGGTAGCAAGCAAAAACCGCAGCACTGGATCTGTAAAGGCACTCGGCGACTCCGAAATATACCTGTCTTGCAACTGTTTCAGAAACCTTCACTTCAGTCCAGGAAATATGTTCCAATGTCCCTGTAATTTCTAGGGTTTGTATAACAGAATTTTAAGGCTAGAATGTAGAAGTTTGCACATCCTGATCCAGCCGCTTGTGGGCATCCAGCGCGCGCACCGAGTGTTTTTCGATCAGCAGCAGCTGGGTCTTTTCAGCCTTGGGAGCGTTTGACACCTGCAGTGCTCCACATGACTCCTCGCACCAAATGGGGATTTAGGGCATGGGGCAGACGGGGCAATTCCTCCTGAGTAAGGGGCCTTACTCACTGGGCAATCTTTATGGTGCCTCTGAAAAGCTGCCCAGACACAGAATCTTCTGGTTCCATGCTATGGACAGGGACATAATGCTCTTGGGCTGTTCTTAGCGCATGCGCTGTGTTAGCAATCATGCGGGTGGCTTTTTTCTCTCTGTCACAGGCTGGCCTGATGAAGGCACAGACTCCAGGGGAGATTGATGCCAAAAGTTGGTACCTCCCAGTGAGTTAAGTGGGGAGCAGCACATGGTTTGTGTCTGCGTTCAGAGATGCAGCTGAGGTGTATGCATTTATCCTTCACTTCAGGGAGTGTGTTTATCAGAGACGGGGGTGGGAAGCAGGGGTTCCTTCCCAGCACTACCCCCTTCATTAGCCTACTGCCGTGTGGGGGCTAGGCTTTGCTGGCCTGCATTAGGGGTCATGTCTGTATCTGGATCCCTGCGCTCAGATCTCCAGCTCTGCCTTGTGGAATAGTAGGAATTTTGCTATGGGGGAATTGCTGTGACATACTACTTCGCTACATCCAGGTTCTTCCCTTTCCTAATAACCGTGCAGCAGGGCCTTAGGAGACCGCGCTGCCGGTTCTCGCTGGCAGAGGGGGCCCAGGCTACTGTGCCTTCCTGATAGACAGCGTCTTGCACACAATTTGATTTTGACTTGTAGTCGTGGCTCAGCCTAGTCCGTCTTGTTTGCTATTTTTGCAGGAGACGCATTCCCCGAATGTCACGCTCTTCTCCTGTCAGTCCCTCAGAAAGAATTCCTCCTGATTTCTGGTTTTAGCTTTTGGAAAATGGAGCCATATGAGGTTCTGAGGCTGAAACAAATAGCCGCTGCCTGGAGTATAAAAGGGTGTTTTGAGGGCCCCACTGCTTATAAATGTGATGTATTTGGTACTGTAAAGGTAATGATCCCCAACCACTGCAATATTCCATAACAGAAGAATCTGTCACATTTGCCGGGATTACCATGTTCATTGATTTGTGTCCGTAAATCTGCTGCCTCTACCCTTTAAACTTGATCTATAATTGGACCTCCTTAAATGGTTCAGATAAGATAGTCTGTATTTTCTCAGCAGTGTCACTGTCAGCTTCTCTCTTTTCATTATACATTCAGCAGACTTGATAAAATCAGCAGGACACCTCATTTGAAACTGTTTAATCGCTGCCTTTTTCTTTTACTAAACCATTGAGGTGGTCAAGCGATGTACACAAATCATTTTAAATGGAAAATACAGCTTTCTGGGTGACCCAGCTAAATAGATAGTGGTATGCAAAACAAGTTAAAAAGTAATAAATGCCAAAAAATCTCCTAATTGGCATAAAAAATTGTAGGCAACTTTGTTCAATTTCCAAAAGTGGAGCAGCTTGAAATATTGTCTGGGTGCCTCAAAACACGATGATGTCTCTATGCAAAGGAGATGTGCTCTCTTTTCCGAACAAAGCAAGATCAAGGCTGCTGTTCAAAATGTCCTCTTGCAGGCGGCACGAGATATTTGTAATGTCTGTAGCTTACTTTGGGGGAAGAGGGCTTCTGTGGGTCGTTCAGTAAACACAGAGGGTTTAAACCTTTGTGTGAGGTCATTTAGTCATCCTTGCCTCTCTGCCTCGCTTTTCAATGTGCTAACTGGAAACAACAACACAGTATAATATACTATACTGGCATAGGTGAGAATGAATAGCCAACTAGCCGGTTGCACTTTTCTGTGTACCTTGGTGAAAATACTGGGTCAGCTCATTAAAAGCGTGCCTTTTCTTTCACTGGTATAAAGGAGTTGACAGTTCTAGCCGGCCTCATCTCAAAGCTTCTATGCAGACGTGGCTTAATACCGTGTATAAAACAGCCATTTTGCAAAAGCTGACCCCAAAGAAAAAAGCAAGGGGCGGGATTGCAAGAACTCCCTAGGTGCCCCACGGGCTTGGCTATGCCCAGTGGGGTTTTGATTTATTTGCCTTGAGCACCAGACCCCCTTTTTTTGCACCCCCCCCTTCAAAGTCTCAGTTTCAAAAGTTGTCTCAGTTTTAAAAGCGCTTAGGTGGGTGTGGGAAGTTGTAGGTTCTCATTTTCCGCCATCTTTGTCCCCTCGATGCCAGCAGATCAGAGGAAGGCCTGTCTGTAAACCCTTCTCGAAACGAGCGAGGGCTTGCTCTTGAGTAGGAGTCTTGAGTGAAATGGAGAGCCCTCTTTTTAAAGGCCTTGTGTCCGGTGTGGCCTTTGGGCTGTTTGTCCATTATCTTACTGGTATTTACACGCAGTTGGCGGCCTGGTGTCCATCCGTGGTCTGCCTTTTCCTGTTCGTGCACAGAACAGAGAGGAGCTTTTTCTGCAATGGCCCCTCCCCATGGATGGGTCTTCCCTCTGAGCCGCTTCAGGCCTCAGCACAGGCTTGTCCGTTTGCACCCCACCTTCTGCCCAGAAGGGCACTCAGGGCGGTTTTAAGCATGTCTTGAAAATGTAGCTGTTTGCGTTAGCTTTCCCCAAGCGTGAGTAATCTTTGTACCAGGCTCCTGTTTATTTTGCATTCATGCATGGCGGTGTAGAGTGTTGTTTCTTTGTTTTGTAAAGCTCTTTGGGATTTGTTTCAAATGAGAAGCTGTAAATAAATCTTGCAAATAAATAAAAGGAGGACTGATGGCTTTTCTTTTCTGGTTTCAGGTTCTGGAGCCTTGGCAGCCATGGCTGTTTTTGAAGACAAGTACAGACCTGACATGGAGGTAAAAAAACTCCCACAGCACTTCCACAGTTCGTTTGCATAATTGGACATCAGCGTGGTGTGTGGGTGCGGGCTGGGGGGGTGCGCCTGATTCAGAACAAAGGCCAGTTCCTACTCTGATCTTCTGTTATTTTTTACAGCCCCTTTTTAGTGATTTTAATAACACTATCTAAAAAGACTAGTATTAATTCTCCTCTCCTGCCCCTCCTCCCCACATTTCCTCTCACTCGGTTAAAATATTTTGACTTCTTGCCAAAGTCCATTTTGCCTTTTCCAGTAGTGTCTGGCCCTGCTTGCATTGCTAAACTGGTTTCAAGCCCGAGCAGAGGGGGGGCCGGGGCCGGGCACCTGCGTCGCTTGCGGCATCTTTCTTTGCACAGTGCTGGCTGTTTCTTGCGGAACACCCTAAACTCAGGATGGCACAGGTTAATTGTGGGTGGTCTGATGTACGGGGGATCCAGTCATAGGGCGTGTGGGGGGGGCTTCTTTACGTCTCTGGGGAAATCCTCAACATCCCCAGCTGCAAAGGTTCCTTAAGGTGAAAGGGCAGAACAACTAAGATGGGTGCCCAGTTTTTCTACCTAAAGGTCAGCCTGATGAAGTGGTTGTCAGGCAGCCAGCCTCAAGCGGAGTTTGGAATTCACCGCTACACTAAGCGTGGCCAGAAATCCACCAACTTTGGCTGGATCGCTGGGTGCCGCTGTCTCAGATAACCACGCTAAGTTTCTCAGCGCAGCGAGACTCCGCCTGCCCTTCCCTGAACTGAAAAGCCGTGCTTGCAAGCAGAGATCTCGTTTCTCTGCCGAACGCGCAAAATACGGCTTGCCGCTCAGATAAAGCCGCCTAACTCACCCTAGGGATAAGCAGTGTCATTCAAAGGTGTATTTTGCTGGGAGGATATTTGTGCTGCTAAGCTTGCTCAGAACTTCAGCCGACCTGGTAAACTCCATTGGTGTTTCCTGATGGGTCTCCCGAAAGGGGGCTGGGCTCTGGTGACCTCCCCCCGAGAGACATGAAACTCCCAGACTAGCAAGCCCTGACTTTTTTTCCTAAATTGGGAGTGGGTGGCAGCTCAGTCAGGAAAGGGAAGGAAAGGTCTTCCCTCGGCCTCGTTCATCAGGATTCAGAAGGACCAGAACAGAAGCGGAGCCCAGAGCGCTTGGCCTGAGTGCCGTCCACGAACAGACCGGCCTCTACGGTGCCGGACGCGCTTTCAGAGTTGCTGCTGGCACTGTCCCTCAGCACAGAAGCGCCTGTGAATCCTGCCTAGGAGGAAAGATTGCCCTTTGCAGTGCCTTAGAACTGAATTTTGAGTTTAAATGGTGCCTCTCGAAGGCAGATCCCTTCGAGGACACGGAGGAATCATTTCCGGTTGTGACCAGCCAGCTTCAGGCTGGACATCAGGAAGAGCTTCCTCACTGTCAGAGCAGTACGACAGTGGGGCCGGCTGCCTGGAGAGGTGGGGGGCTCTCCCACACTGGGGACGTTCGAAAAGAAACTGGGCAGCCCTGGGGGTGGGATGGCGTGACGGAGTGTCCTGCCACAGCAGGGGTTGGACCGATGGCCTTCATGGCCCCTTCCAGCTCTGCCCTTCGGTGTGCCCCCTATGCCCTTCAGCGCTCTCTTCCATCCGAAAGTCAAATGGTTTTATTGGGCCATCTGGTTTTTGCAAAGCCATTTTGCTATTCTGTAGACGGCAGGAGTAATGCAGTTCTGTCGAGGGGGGTATTTTCAAGGAAGAAGGGCGCTCTGGCTTGGGCAAGATGGTGGGGTTCCCTGACTTGAGTGTCTTCCGTGGCACTGATTCGTGAAGGGGTTTAGAGGCTTAAGGGCGTGAAAGTCGCACAACACGGCCGAACACCGTTGTGCGCATCGCCAGAGCGCGTTGCGTGGAATTTGTCAGCTGCCCGTGCTGCAGCAGCAGTGGGAACTTAAAATTCTCTGGGCCCTTGTCATTAAAATTAGTAGCAAATTAATATTTTTTCCCTGTCGAGATGAATGCTGATTCCCTTCCATCACAGAATACCTGTGAAAGGGCAGCAGTGGACTGCAAGACCATAATATCACAGAAAAATGATTCAAAGGCAAACTGTCCTCCACCCTGTGGTATCAATTCGCAAATTAGCATCTGGAATCTAATTAAACAAGCTTAATGAAAGTAGCAGCTGAATACTGCTAGAAAAGACAATCAGCCTTTCTCCCCTCTGATATATATTTTCTACTACTGAAGCTGTTCACCAAAAGCATCGTGTGAGCACAGTTAAAGAAATTAGCATTTATTTGAAGGCGAGGAACTGTTTTTTCTCTCTGCTTCGCTTTTGGCATGCGCCGGCGTCCCCAGAGAGCCATGCCACAACACGGAGTGCACAATATTTATAAATCTGTGACAGGCAATAATAGCAACTTGAAAAATTTCTTTTGCTGGAATTTCAAGTTGAGAGCTGCCAAAAGCTGAGAGGATCAAACCGGCTCTGGCAGCTGGCTGTGCCCTACAGTGAGAATAGCAGACTTTGAAGATGTTCGACTTAAAGAAACCAAGACTGCAGGCTTAGCCAATTTTCGCGGGTTTCTCCAGCCCTGGCTCTCTGCCTTTTGAAGATGAGTTGCCTCAGGCATCCTCACACCAGCAGGGCTGTGTCCCCCCCCCCCCCGCCCTCCGCCCGCACCTCGACTGTGTGTCTTGAGTTTGAGGTAGCAAGCGACTCTGTCAATGCCAAGCACGACAGGCCTTCCTCGGGCTGCAGCGCAGGCTCAGCATCCCGGATCCTTCTCACATCCATGCCGGCCCCGGGAGGGCCCGCGGATGGCGGCGGCTCGAGCCCTGGAGCTCCGTGGATGCTTCGGAGAGGAGGCCAAGCATCCGACTGCCGAGGGGCAAGAACAGTTCCTCACAAGCACACCGAGACGTACCTGAGACGATGTCGGTGGGAGAGCACTGCAGCTGGTGGAGTTCTCGGAACAAAGCGGGCGGCTTTGCTTCCCGCAGGATGAGCCGCTCCTTCCAGAGAGGGAAGGATCCCAGCCTCTGGGTGCCGGGCTGGCTCACGAGCATCGCATGCGCATGCACATTCATCGGGGTCCTGGTTCCGCTCATTTGGGTTTTAGGCGCGTTTGGGCGTCCTGCGACTCGGAAGCTGTGGGAAGGCAAGCACAGTGCGACGGCACGGGGAAGAGCGCGGATTTGCAGCAGGGGGTGAGAGACAGGGCGCTCATGCCCCGCTCCCCATAATCAAGTTGGACTCGCTGAGCAATCGCACCTCACATCACATGGCAAGAAGGGTGTTTACTGACGTTACCGAAAGATGTTAAGGCAAATGAAGATCGGCATGCTTGAGAAGCTCAGAAGCACCCGTGGCAGGACGGGTGGCAGTGCCGCTTGCTGGGCGACTCGGGAGGCCGCCCTGGCTTGGGCCAGGCGCCAGGCGGAAGCTGGGCTGAGGCCGGCGGGGCGGGGGACAGCGCCCCTGGCAAAGACAGGTTGCCCAGCCCATCAAGCCAGAGCCCCTCCTTTGCTCTTGCTTCCATGCACATCCCCATCACTAAGCGGGCCTTTTGCGGCTCTAAAATGTTTTTCAAGCCCTGGCCTGAAACTCTTTCTGACCCTTGGGAACAGCATCCTCGGCGTGGCAGGCAGACTCGAGGCGAAAATTCGGCCTGCGGTGTCGGGAGTGCTGTGCGCTTGGGGAACTGGCACCGCAGGAAGGCGCCCTCGGAATAGGAGAGGGTGCCTTGAGGAGATGTCCGTGCTGCCACGGGGCTTGCCTTTCCCGGTGAAAGGAGGGCTTGTCGCCCATCATTCCGGGCTGGATGCGCATCGCTGTGCTCCGTGCGGGATTTCGTGTGAAAAATAGCCGCATGATACCCACTCGCTGCCCCGTGAGCATCCATGTCGGTGCTGAAACTGGGCACACGGGTCTCGTGCCTTGGAAAGGGAAGCCCTTGCGCAAAGCACCTGTGGCACTTGGCACGCGGGGAGGGACGCCACGCTTCGGGAGCAGAAAGCCCCAGCCCGCCACTCTCCAAGCCGCTTTCGGCTGCGGGTTCCAACGAGCGGCATTCAGAAGGTGCAAGTCCACACTGATCACTGGCTGGGAGCAGGCGGCCTGTTCCCTTTCGGGGCGCTTTCGGCTGCTCCTGCAAAGGAAGTTCTTCACCAGCCCCTTGAGACCCTTCTTTGTGCGACGGCGTTGAACCCGGGACTTCCTGGCTGCAGAGCCGTTGCCGTCTTGCAGGCATTGTGCTTGATTGCGTGCGCACTTCTGCTGCCTTCGGGCTTCCAGCCGTCTCCTCCGGATGTGGGGCAGGACCCACCGTTTGCGGGTTCTTCGTGTGGCGCAGTGGCGTGAACAGCAAGGTGAAGGGTAGTTCCGGTTAGCACAGCAGGAGAGCTCAGGGAGGGACTGGCCCCGAGGCTCTTCTGCAGGTGCCGTTTGGGTGGTCACGTCGCCACTCCATTCAGGTTCCCTTTTCCCTTTTCCGAGTCGAAAGACAGCATGGCCAGAACCGTTTCTGGTCAAGCGTCTATTTTTAACGGTCCATGGGAGGGGGAGGGTGGGAGTCGCGACTTCTGGGGGCTGTTTTTGATAACGATCCAAACTTTAATCTCGATCAGGTGCCGCCGCCTCATCAGTCTCATTTAGGCGGCCTGCGTGGCCGCTTGACACGCCGCGACAAGCTGCATATGAATGTGGGTTCATTAGCGGGGCTGATCAGAGTGTCCGTGCGCCTGCCACAGGGCTCAGGTGTGGCTGTCTTTTGGCTAATGCCCCCAGCTGACACTCGGCGTTTTAATGACTCCACGGGAAGGTGGCTGCTTGCTGGGAAGTTTGCCAGCAGACAATGGAGATCAAGGGGGACCACGCGCATTAAGCTGGAGCGCTGCCTGCGCAACCCGCATCCCCATTGGCAGTGCACGGAGCTTAAGCACATGCCTCAAAAAATAGGCCTCTTCTCACACAACGGCGGGCATTATTTTTGTCTCTGTGACAGCAGATTAGGCCG